TTAAAACTTGTCAGTAACTAAGGCTTTAGCATTTGTTCTAATGGCTACCGAGTAAAAGTGTCTGGGTGTCTTTTCCATATTAAGACCATAAATGCAAAAATGTGTCTGTATGTCTGTCTGTCACCTATTTACGCTTCAGCCGTTACACCGATTTAGATGAAATTTGGTATAGAGATAGTTTGAGACCCGGGAAAGAATATGGAACATACAAAAGACATAGTTTTTATCCCAGAAATCATTCTTTAAGAAGGTGAAAAGGGGGGTGGAAATTTAATATAGACGTAAATTAAAATGAAATTCAGTAAGATGTTAACAATCATTTTTTTCTTATAAAAATCTGTATATTATATTTTCAATTGTGCTTTTAGCGTTGCGTATTGGTTTAAACGGCTACCTCGCCGCCTCCTACTGTGCTGAGTACTTTTTTACAGCAATACACGCAGAGTCGCGGGAAAAATCACACTAGATAATATGTTCGTATTTTATAATAGACCATTAATAATAATAATCTCACACATCTCACACACGGCCGTCTGATCCCAAAGTAGGCAGAGCCTGTACTATGGTAACCAGACTGCTGATAAACATGCTTATATATTTCTAAATACATACATATTATAGATAAATTACATAATATACATATGTAATATGTTTATCGGCAGCACTATTATCAGTAGTAAGGTAATCTAGATTACCGCGGTACAGGTTAGAGCTTGTACTAAAGTGTTAGGTCATTAGCTCTATAAGATAGTATTATAAAAATGATTAATTAGAATAATTGTCATAAAGTGTCAAGTAGGTATATAAGGACAATTTGTCAATAATAATAATATTCTACAACATTCACACAACGCCATCTAGTCCCAAACTAAGCCAAGATTGTGCTATGGTTACTAGACAACTGATATACTCGTAAATATATATATACTTTTTTTTTGTAAATACATACTTATTATACATAGAAACACCCAGACCAAATCAAACAGTAAATGTTCATGCACACAAATGTTTGAATAGCAGTCCGTCACACAAACCACTACGCCATTCGGTCGTCAATGGCCTGATGCTGAAATACATTTTAATACATTAGATGTCAAATATCAAGATTTGATTTAAATTTGCCCCGCGGCTCTTTGTTTCAAATTACATCGATTCTAAAGAAGTTTCACTTTAAAACTTCTTTCACCAGTGGAAAGCTATATATTATCAGTGAGTAACATTTTTTTTTTACCGACATACACGCGGGAGGAGCCGCAGGTAAAAGTTAGTAAATAAATTAAGGTCACCTTTGGTTCGATATTCGTTAAATGTCGCGCCTGACCACGAGCAGTGACATTCGGTTGATTGCATTATACACGCACTCAAATGTCAATGTGCTGATATCAAATACGCATATTATGGCATTTTACTTATACAATAACGAAGTCGAGGCATAAAGAGAGATGGAGAAAAAAACTGGCAGAGAAAAAAGATCCCGTTGCATCAGATTCGTAATGTGAACATGTCGTGATACTGAGTAATAATTATTCCGACTAGCCGTTTTTTCTTCGTGACCAACTGTATACAATTATAACTTGGTCATTGCGCAATCCGGGGAAAAAAATATTATCGAAAGCATCAGATCAAATAAAAAAATAAGATGGACTTTGTGAAAAAGCGAAGTGACGCTGGTTTTATAGACATGTGTGCCGGTGCTGCCAACATAGTTTTATTTTATTGACAATATTAGTTTCTACGCTGACTTGTGTGTGAAATGCCATCCTACTATCTACCTCTTGTAGTTCGATTTTTACACCCTTTCACAACACAATTCGACATTTATATTTGTAAATATGGTTGACATTTTTGACTGACAGGACGTAGTTTCGTTGTTCGTGTAATTGTGTATGTATACGACAAGGTGTAGTTTACCTTACCTCACTTCATTGTACACAGAATCTTAACTTTTTGATTTGACCTGAGTCATGCATTGTGGCTCCGCGCTACTTACACACACACAAAAGTATATATCAGAGTCATCTAACGAATACACAACGAACTACTAAGTAATTTATTAATCCTACATCCCGCAATAAAAGAAACCAGCTATGATCACCTTGCCTGGTCGGATCATCCTCCCTTTGTGTGGTAGCGACATAACACCCGTTCATCTACAGTATCAACGGATTTCTTTATTTTTGTAAAACATTTGTTTTCCATTAAAATATCAAGATATGATAGCTTACCTTGTTGATTCATGCCCTATGAATTCGCTTACGATATCAAGTACAGTTGCAAATAGAGGAATGGTAAGTAAGCAGGTAGTATTTATAGTATCGGATCATGAAATAAACTACCAAATCAAACAAAATATGTAAAAACTTACAATTGAGACATAATTATAATATTATATAATTACAAGATACACGATAGAAATTGCAATCAAATTAAATCCCAATTAATTATCATGTAAATAATAAATAAGTGAATTTAAAAAGAGACAGAAAAAATACTCCAAAGTTGTTTGAAAACTTTCTGTCTCAAGAACAGTTATATCTCCATTATCCAGGGATTTGACCTACTTTCAAACTCTCCGGATCCAGGCAATAAATAATCCCCTATTAAAGCTTCTAGAATCAATATTCAATTCGAAAGATTCGCAAAATATGGTTCAAACGTGAAAAGTTGAAGGATTATTCAATTTCTTCAGAAATGTTTTGTAAAATTTAGTTAATTTTACATCCCCGTTCATCCACAGTATCAACGGATTTCTTTATTTTTGTAGAACATTTGTTTTCCATTAAAATATCAAGATATGATAGCTTACCTTGTTGATTCATGCCCTATGAATTCGCTTACGATATCAAGTACAGTTGCAAATAGAGGAATGGTAAGTAAGCAGGTAGTATTTATAGTATCGGATCATGAAATAAACTACCAAATCAAACAAAATATGTAAAAACTTACAATTGAGACATAATTATAATATTATATAATTACAAGATACACGATAGAAATTGCAATCAAATTAAAGCCCAATTAATTATCATGTAAATAATAAATAAGTGAATTTAAAAAGAGACAGAAAAAATACTCCAAAGTTGTTTGAAAACTTTCTGTCTCAAGAACAGTTATATCTCCATTATCCAGGGATTTGACCTACTTTCAAACTCTCCGGATCCAGGCAATAAATAATCCCCTATTAAAGCTTCTAGAATCAATATTCAATTCGAAAGATTCGCAAAATATGGTTCAAACGTGAAAAGTTGAAGGATTATTCAATTTCTTCAGAAATGTTTTGTAAAATTTAGTTAATTTTACATCCCCGTTCATCCACAGTATCAACGGATTTCTTTATTTTTGTAGAACATTTGTTTTCCATTAAAATATCAAGATATGATAGCTTACCTTGTTGATTCATGCCCTATGAATTCGCTTACGATATCAAGTACAGTTGCAAATAGAGGAATGGTAAGTAAGCAGGTAGTATTTATAGTATCGGATCATGAAATAAACTACCAAATCAAACAAAATATGTAAAAACTTACAATTGAGACATAATTATAATATTATATAATTACAAGATACACGATAGAAATTGCAATCAAATTAAATCCCAATTAATTATCATGTAAATAATAAATAAGTGAATTTAAAAAGAGACAGAAAAAATACTCCAAAGTTGTTTGAAAACTTTCTGTCTCAAGAACAGTTATATCTCCATTATCCAGGGATTTGACCTACTTTCAAACTCTCCGGATCCAGGCAATAAATAATCCCCTATTAAAGCTTCTAGAATCAATATTCAATTCGAAAGATTCGCAAAATATGGTTCAAACGTGAAAAGTTGAAGGATTATTCAATTTCTTCAGAAATGTTTTGTAAAATTTAGTTAATTTTTGTTTTACTAAGAAGACGTCCTAACGTGGACACCTGCAGCACACAAAATAACATATGTAGTAAATGTGCAAAAAATTGATTTGATTTAATTCGAACAGTTCCTAAGTGTGTAGTATTTATAAAAGCGATTATCGGTTACTTTTGCAAAAAAACTGATTAAAATAAAAATGTAAATGTTTACTTGACTTCAAAAAAGGAGGCGATTGTTAATAACGGTTGTCACCTTTTTATGTTTATTACCTCAGAGGTCCGTTATTTATGAAACAATTTAATTATTGATGATGATGATTTTAAAAAATTAAGGAATATATTAAAGATAAATATTAAATATAAATACTATTTTGAAGGGAAATTATTATTCAATAAGTTTTTGAACGCTATTGGTACAAGAAACAATTACACGTTAGATCTGTAATGCCCACGTAGTGTAAATAAGTGATTCGGACTCACGAAAATCAATTGTGTGTTTTTCTTTGTCCATCTTAAGGTATACCTTTCGGAACCTGAAGGCATCTCGCATCAGGAATCACGCGTAACGAATTAGAAAGCATCTTACTTGTGTGACAGATTACATTACTTAAGAGTCGATGATACTGAATTGATGACGTTCTTAAATCCTGCTGTTTGTTCTTAGGCACTAATAGTCTAACCTCTCACTCTATAGAGGAAATAAATAAACCGGGAGTAAAATCGTTAGAATGGTTTTAGACGTACCTTTTTGGAGTATGTCGAAGTAAGGTGTGTATTTCAGGTTTAAGTGAAGTAGTAGAAGTCTCGGATATAGTTTCGCAGTGAAATCGAACCCACGAACCGAATCCTCTCAGTCGCGTGGGTGGGAATAACACTCAAAGAGCCTGCTTGGCTACTAAATTTTGACTAGAAGTTTCAGCTTTTTGTTTTGTTTTTGTTTAATGTTTATTAAGGATAAAAATAAGGCATCAGAGGCTCTCTTTTCTTTATTCTTTCCTAGGAATGAATTAGTATTTAGAGGTGTCATCATAAATATCTATTATTTATAACGATATTTCTATCGTGTGCTTACGGCCTTACTATCAAATTCCCTAGAATAGAAATTTCATATTCTTAAATTCTAATTATATAGGTATTAATAAATAGCATACCTGAAGGCCTCTGTCCAAGAGATCTCATCACGACGCCAAGTTCTGCCATCGTAATAGTACCATCTTCATCCTTATCGAACAGCATGAACGCTTCCTTGAATTCTGTAAAATTGGCAGATCAGTTATTAAATTTATACTAGTTGTACACGAACATAGAGATATATCTTAAAGGGTAGATACTCTTATTGCAAAAGGTACCGAATTAATGAAGCCAGTGCGACAATAAGCAAGTTGTAAAGATTGGTTCACTCATGTTAACACTTAAAATACATAATATCTATGTACATAATATTTATTTATTTATGTACATAAAATAAATATATAATATTTATGTACACAGGCGGGCCGTATTTAAGTCCGCCTGTGTACAACTAGTGCATTAAGTTAAATAAATAAATATCTAAATATAAAATACTGTAGTTCTATAAGTCTGTGGAATACATACCTAGGTTTAAAATAAGAAATGAAGTATTTATAGAAGAGGTGAGAGTGCATGACGACGTCAAGTCTGGATGCGAAATATCAAGTGACAATATATTTTTAGCTAAATTATATGAATTTTTTATTAAGCTGTCGATAAAGTAATTCTTTTCTGAAATGAGGGGAAAATGAGCAGAGCAAAATAACGACTGTTGACTGTTGCATTGATCCGGAAATACCACTGGCGGCAATTTGTTCCACAGATTGGTTATACGAGGAAAAGTTTCTTGTAAAGCACACAGGGGCATATAAATGTGTAGGAAGGAAGCTTTGTGCCAGAGCCGATGGGATTTCTTCGCTGTAGATAGATAGATAGATAGATAACTCTTTATCTGTACACCGTTTTACAAAGTAGAATGGTACATTAAAATGTTAGACATGTAATGTACAAAGGGCGGCCTTATTCCTAAGAGCAATCTCTTCCAAGCAACCTTAGGATGTATAAATATGTTATGTAAGGGAAGAGAAGGAAGGAGTAGATTTGTGAGTTTACCTGCAACTTGTTCTTCCGTGAGGCCATATTCCGACTGAAAACAGAAAAAATGAAAGTAAATTTTCTGCAAGCTGTACACGAAGGTTAGGGAAACACAAATTTATGAATTAATAAATTACTTTGACAACAAATTTTATATAACATACTTTACACGCATTAGACAGCTTTGCTCATGATAATCTAGGTTTTTTTTATTTGGGCGTAATTCGGCTATCAGTAAATATACTTCTGCCCTTAAAGTAACGTTCCTTTTGGGCCTGCTAAACTTCATGACGGTCAGTTGAGTAGTTAAAGCATAACAAACAAACTAATTTCTTTCACATTTATGGTATTAGTTTTAGTGGTATTAGTTATGGTTAGTATAATATAATAATGTGGGTGTTTAATGGACTCTGCCTACGCCTTGGAGAACTTACAGGCTTAAGGTTGGTGTCGGCTTTAAGTCTACTACGATACGTCTATAATTTAGATTTTTTACGTGGAGCAACTGAACTCAGACCTCAACAACCAAGCACGCAATATCGAAATTCTGTAGACAGACTGTTATCGGACTTTTTAGGGCTCAAACTACACGTAACGTTCGCCACAGATGCTCATATGGCATGAGTTTAAGTATGTAGCGTAAATACCAATGAAACTACCTGCGTTTTTGATCTTGTTAGTCAAATAGAAAGAAATGTCATCGCATGAATAGATTTTATCAATCAATCGATATCAATCGATTCTGGTACTCCTTAGAAACATCACTATTTACTGGATTAATATTTTGCTGTCCACCTGATGATATGACATGTGTGTATTGATAACGATGAACAAATAAACAAACAAGTATATTTTTGCAGGGATGAAGTGTTAATAAAAATTAAACTAAATCACAAACTCACAAAATGTAACCGGACCGGTCCAAATTTTTACAAGGTTAGTACAATTCACCAACAAACACATACGTACAGATACTTGTCGTATCGCCAGATCACTCGTCAGCCTCCTGAGCCTTCGATACTCCTTGTTATAAATCTCATCTGTAGACATAGTAGTCGCCATCATTGAATAGCCGGCTTTTTTTTCAAACAATATCGATAATCGATATACCGAGTCCGATAACTAATTAGCGATATCGCATAAATATAGTCGATTTTCTTACAGGAATAGGTTACGAAGTATAAAATGCACTATTTATTACACTTCGAAACGATTATACTAGACTTATAGACAGTTGTCTAGCATAAATATTTTAACATAATATGACAAAGGCCGCATTGTAACTGATCGTAAATACTTTACTTTGTCTAAACAGCTGTGTGAGAGTAAAATAAGGTATGCTTGCATATTTCATTGTTTTCTGTTATAGTATACCATCAATGTGTGCATTTCTATCCTTTATACTGCGCAATGAATTTTCTACTTTCATTTAATTATGGCTAATACCTACTAGAGTTACAAATTGCACAAAAAAAATATTTAAGTATATTTATTTATTAATTTAAAGAGTTTGTTGTATTTTAGTATAACGTAGAGTCGACTTTCGACCAATATTTATCTTTTTAGTTTATTGAAAAGTGTAACTAGGCCTCTCTTTGTGTAAAATGACAGGCTAAAACATATACTGGATGTATGAGGAATCATAATCTATTCAATTTCAAGTAGGTAGTCTTTAAAAATTTTAACACTTATCGTTTCATTTTTTTTTATCTTTTTCTCTTCTTTTACATATGAACTTTAAGTTTTATGTGATTATTGTTTTTTTTCTCATTTCGCCTAGTTGTCTTTCTATTGCCCACAGTTTCACATCACATAGATTTAAATTAACTATGATTGAAATTGGAGCGTAACTTATTTAATTTAGAACGTTTATGTTAATCAAATGACGTACTACCGACATAAATCAAGTTATTACTATTTCTAGTAAGTATGTTGCATTCCAGTATGTTTGAACTGTCAGTGTATGGAATTTCCATATTACGATAGGTCAACACAGTGACGTATGCGTCAAGACATTTCATTTTATAACAGATATTGTTTATTTATTTTTTAATTTTATGCACTTGTTTTAAATTACACATTCTGCTTTACCCAAAATGTACTTTAAAACGGGGTTACGGGGAACAAAGAATTAACTTAACATATACATGTACGAGTAAATGTTACTGCACTTTTTTGTGGTGGAAGTGTTCATTTAAGTTTTTTCATAAAACCTTTTTGATGTCACTTTCGATAGAACATTTCCAATTGTCAATTACACCCGTGTTCCTTTTTATTCGTTCTATTTTTGAATTCCGCTGACGTTTGGCAGGAAACCGTTGCGTTATATATTTTATTCAAGGTTTCCGACTTGTTTACCATCTATTTTATAACTGAATTTCTTTTGAAACGATCGAGATTTAAAAAATAATTTTATAACATCCTATGAAACTTCTTCGTAGTTTCGATTATAACAGGCGCGCTGTAGTGTAAAGTAATTTTAAAAATATATTAAAACTAGAGCCTGACCAATGTCAGGTCTTTAGAACTTATTATAACTCAATGTGTTTATAAATTTTCGCGGCTGAATTGTTAACTCTTGAGATGAACCTGTAGCAATATCTAGGCGTTGTGTATTTTTGAACAACAAACAGAAGAATGTATTTTATAGGAAAAAAAACATTGAACTCGCGACACGTTTACGTTACCGTTACCGTTGCCGTCTGTTGAAGTGAAAACTTCTTAAGGCGCGTTGGTCATTTTTTGGGATTTGAAAAACAATTGAACTCGCGACACTGTTACCGTTACCGACTCCTCTATATAGAAGTATAACTTTAAGGTTTCCTACTACGGAACCTTAAAAATAACTTTTGAATTTGACTTAAATAATTTTTCAACAGAATTATTTTATTTTATTTTTAATTGCAATAATTAAATGCAATGCAAACAAGATGACTTTAAAACTACACTTCACAATAAACACACACAAAACAAATATTTGCAGCAAAAATTAAAATTTCTTTTGTTCCTTTTGATTTCACTTTATTTGTATAAAGCTCTTCACAAAACAATTATCTTGTAGACAAACGACGAGTTTCATTTTAAATTTTTAAGAAATAGGTATTTTAATTAAATTACTTTTTTGTTTCAGAATCAATTATGTTGTCACAACATTCACAAGACACCGACGACATGGTATTTGAACTTTATCACCTTTGATATAATTTAAAATTAAAATTATTTTACACTTGCAACACACTTCTCCTTGACTATCTATTCATATTTTTTTTATTTTTTTTTAATCAATTGACGCTATCGCACCGGCAAATAATACGAGCACCACAACATTGTCAGTTCTGATATTAGTAGAATTCTATATTTAAAATAAAATTATTTTCGCTTGCAGCAGCTGCTGCTGCGTACATCGTTTTTATAACGTGAAGAAATATTGTTGTGGTAATGATTAAATCTAGTTATCTACAAAGTATTTATTCTCATTTTTAGATACCTATTGAGAAACAGGTTCGCCTGCAACATAACCTATAAATCAACAAATAAATATGTAGTCACCTTGCGAATAATACAAAGATAATAATATTAAACTATAAAAATACAAGGCATACATTTAGCATTTATTTCAAACAAGTTACAAAATATACCTACTTGTCATTATTTGCAGCCTATGTGGAACAAGTGTAATGTATTATTCCGTCATCTTGGCACGTCTTGTATCATTTGGAACGAAGCAGTTTTGGCGGTAAAATTATAGACTCATCACTAACGATAATGACGTAACGCGGGCCTATTTTTATTATTAGGAAAAATAACCCTTAAGGCAAGGAGATAAGCGTTTAGGTTCATGTAACTAAAATACTATTTATTTTAAACGTGCCAAATAGTTTACTTCTCAAATGCCTTGAGATAATACTTTTTAAAGCGACATCTGTTGTAAGCAAGCGCAATCTCTTTAATTACAGGCTAAGATTACTGTTGAGTGACTTTTATAACTAGTATCAAAAAGTTTTAATTGCGAAGGATGAAAATAACGACTATTCGCTTAAAAATACTTAAAGTTTGAAGTAATCTAACCTTTTATAAACGTTAATTAAAATTAATTTTCTTAAGCTCTTAACTCTGAAAGTTCGAATTCGAAAGGATAAGAGTATTTTTACATGCCAAACATTACAATATATATATGGTAATAAATTATTCCCATGACTGGAGTCTATTTTTAGATAACAGTGTAGATAATAATTACTCAAAGAAGTATAACAACAAACATATTATTGTTTTTTTCCCCTTTGATGCCTACTAAAATCTAATAGCAAACTTATAGTAAAACAACTGTTACTGCTGAAATGACAGGCGTTTAATATTAACTTAAATGAACAGTGACAGCACGTCACGAGGGTTAGCAATGTCTTAAGACGAAGTAGTGTTGGAGTAAGATATCATGTTTTAACTATATTGTTTGAGGTTGAGGCAAACGAGCGAACGGGTCACCTTTTGGTAAGTGACTACCTTCGCCCATAGACATCTGCAATTAAAGAATTACAAGTGTCACCCAAGAACTCAGCGATACTTCTAGCCGACGTAGTCTGGAAATGAATTTGGACAAAACAAAAGTTATAACAAATACAGATCTTAACCCCACCATTAAGATTAACCATACCACCATCAAAAGAGTAGAGAAATACGTAGGTATATTTGGGTCAGGAGATAGTTACTTTAAAAATAATAAAATCAAACAACATTGTCAGAACCAGACCATACCAACCATACGATTCGTTTTTTTTTTTTTTTTTAACGTGTGGAAATCCCCTCGGACCGTCACCCCACCGGGGTTTGCGGTGGGGTGGTGTGTCGGACTCGGACCGACTAAAACCACACGGTGTGCCACTCTGCGCCTGTAATAGAAGGGATCCGGGAACAGCTGTTATTAAGACATCCGGACCCCTCCTAGCGCCTGCCCGCTCCTGGTGCGGGCTTCGTCTCAAAATTTTCCTCTCTTTAGGCGACGTCCGGCACACGCGGACGCCGCCCCCTCGTGGCTGGCCAAACTAATGCGGGTGGAGGGGAAACCCACCCCGTCCACCCGCGGCCACACTCAGGGCGGCATGAGGCGGTGATAGGCGCGCCTACGCCGCCCGGTTCGCCGGCGGCGGATCGGGTCCGAGTGGAGGTCGTCCTCCCGGGCCTTCTCCGCCGCCTCCTTCTGCGAGATTACTTCCTCGCAGAAGGTTGCGACCGCGGTAAAACAACTGTCGCTACCGGCCATGGAGCGTACTACGGCCGGTAGCGAGAGATCCACTCCGATGACTGCAGTGAGGGCCCGGCGCTGCGTCGCCCATGCGGGGCAGACCGCCGACTGAGCAGCCTATTCCAACCTCCAGTTTGCCATCAAAATAAATCTCAAAGCTGAACAAAAGGCCAATGTATCCTTACAATTCTCAATTATGATGCTGAAACCTGGGTTTGGGTGAGCGTAGCCCACCGTGCACTGGAGAAGAAACTGGCGGGAATCACATTGAGAGAGCATAAAACCAATCAGTGGCTAAGACAACAAGGTAAGGTTACGGATGTCGCCAAACGTGTGGTCAAGCTTAAATGGGAATGGGCAGGTCATATGGCACGCAAGACCATTTCTTGGAGCAGGCTTTTATTTGAGAGGCAACCATGGTGTCCAAACGTACGCCAGGAAGAACACAGATACGATGGAGTGATGATATCAAGAGGACAGCTGGAAAGAAGTGGCTCCACATCGCACAAGATCACGATGAGAGGCATACTTTGAAGGAGGCCTAGACCAGAAGAAAAGAGTGAGAGAGAGAGAGAATTGTCACCCTGTGAGAATTAAAGGAGGTGGGAGGGAATTGGGCACGTAGTGACCTCAGTCAACGAAAGAAGCTTAATATCGGTTTTCTGCCCGGCCCGTGGTAGTAGGTACACATGCACCAAAATATGATTCTCTCTCGAAAAATTCATAATAAATAATTATTAATATTGGCTTACATAGATAAAGCTGGCAGACTCTATAGTTAATCAACTATCAAACGTCAAATTGCCTCTATAGTCCATCACTATACTCCAAGCCCAGCAAAGCAGCTTACCGATAATGCCAACTAGAATAATTGTATCATAGCCATACACGTTGTTAACTCTATATAAGTCTATTTTTAATCACTTTTTTATCAAGAATCTTTTTGTATGTATGCGCAGAGATTTCAAGTTATAATTAACATAAAAAGTTAATAATCTTGGAATTTGAAAAAAAATCGGGTACTTCTCATCGACTAAGAATCATGAATTGTTAATCACAGATAACGAATAGTTTAATTAAAGACATTAAATAAATTATAAATCTAGTAGATGTTAATGAAAGTAATAAAAGTTTTTAAACTGTTGCTTTGGTAAACATGTGACATTTTACCTGTAGCTGTGTGACAAATAACGCGGCAATTCTACAACACACGTCGTAAAACTATTTTTATAGGTCAATGTTAAACAACAACAAATATTCAAATATTTGAGCGTAAGCTTTATATTTAAATGCTGTATATTTGAAAAAAAAAAGATTTCTATTGACGTTCTATTTTGATGTCAGTTTAGTCTGAAACGCCACACAAACCCAACTGTTTTTGAGACGATATTGTACACTTCCAGCATGCCTGACTTAAGCTGTCATGCTCAAACGTAACACAATATTCCTGGAATACTGTCGTAGCGCCACCTTTTTTTTTCTGTGCGGAAATTTCCTCGGAAACCACTTACCGATGGCAATGTCGGACTTGAACCGACTAAAACCGCACGCCGTCTCAGGTACCAGTAGTCGGGGAACCAGGTGTACCCTAGAAAGGAAATCCCTAGTGCCCCGACGTACCTCGGGCCATCTACGGCGGTTAGACGACCCCCCTGTATGGGAACCCCCATGTTCCCTCTGTGCTCCCGAAAGGGCGCGCGCGCTTCGCAACGCGCTCGCCGCTACCCCGGCCTGCTTCGGCTAGGGTGACAGATGTCCTCACCTGTCACCCCCAGGCCTGCGCTTATGGAGGACTGCGTTTCCGAGCCTGACGGGCCGGGAGAGTTCTAAACCTCTCCCGGTCCCGCTCCGCCATCTCCTTCGCAAGCATAACTTGCTAGCAGAGGGTTCGGAAGAGTTCCACGCACTCTCGCTTCGCACGATAGCCGTCCTAAGGTTATAGAGCGAGAGAGCTCCCACTCCGATGGCCGCTACGAGATCTCGCCTCTAAGGTTGAATCGCGCGCTGTTCATCATCATCATCTGCAGCCTTTAGTAGTTCACTGTTTGATATAGGCCTCTCCTTAAAAAGAAGGTTTTGGCCTACTATACCACGCTCGCCGAAAGGCCTGGTATAGGGTTTGTGTCAAGTTTTCATTCTCTTTGCAGTGCTGTTTTCCTTCGGAGTTTGCTCCCTTAGTCTACTATTACGACACCGATGATGACGATGAATTGGAGTGGTGACAATCGGTATTCTTTATCCGTCACCGTAATTTAGCGTGCTATTTAATTTAACCAATAAGTGCGCGGGGTACTATTGTTCGCCGTCAGATGGCATATGAGATATCATATATCCGATGTTGTGCACTATATGCAATTACTGTAAGGATTTTTCCTGTTCTTGCCGGTTTTCCAAATTTATTTCATATCGAATTAACTCGTTTTCTTCTTTTTTTTCTAATCGAGCCATATTCTCTTTCACGTAGTTCATTCGTCTTATGTGGGTGTTCTTTACTCATGTATCTTTTAACTTTTAATCTTCTAACTTTGCTTAACTCTCCACATTATATCTCAATTCCAGATAACACAAAAAAAAAACTAAAATTAAGTTGCCCCTTAAAAATATTCATGCATCGTGTATTCACTTAAACATAATTATATACTTTTGCGGACTACCTATCATGTAAGCAACTGTAGTTCGATCATTTATTCAACCCTACATGAAAGTATAATCAAAATCGATTTAACTGTTTAGGAAAAGTTCAGTGTCATACATTGTATTATTATGTAATGTGTTAAGTATAATAATTGTATTTAAAAATAATTTAGGATAATTATGCACATACGATAACCGACGCGATTACATTATGGGAAGTTTTTACCTGGTTGTATGGACCGTGGTCACAGGCTGACTATACATACTCGTATAGTAACTTGTCTAAAATATGAGTATATATGTATTAATAAATATTTAAGTAGGTATATTTATCAGCAGTCTGGTTTCCATAGTACGGGTTATGCCTAGTTTGGGATCAGACTGCCGTATGTGAGATGTGTCGAGAGAGAAGTTGAATTACAAACTAATTGACATGATGTGCATTCTACGAGTACGACCGCGTCAGTCACCGCCGTGCATCGCAAGTGGTCGCGCACCGTATGTCCCTCGAATGCTTCGACTATGGAATGAATTCCTTGCCGAAGTTTTTCTGAGGAACTGAACGGAATTATATATATATATAGGAATTGAACGGAAATACTTCATTCCTATTCTTGACTCTTCAAAAAAGGAATTAACAGGTTTTCAGAGAATTGGCATCTAGCACACAACTCAAATTCAGAGACGTAGTATACAAAATATCGCGAGTACTTAAAATTTCAGGTTTTGAATTTTATTTCATATTATATTAGTATATCAGACATCTTTAATCATAT